AGGTGGTAGACGGTCTCTGACTGTCGAACGCGGAGGTACCACCTGGCGGATCTCGTAGGCGGAGCCAGAATGTGTGCATGTTGCATGCACACGTGTTCCCTCGCCAGAGTCCGTGTGGCGTTCCCCCCCCCCCCCCCCTTTCCCATGTATCCCCCTATAGCTCCACGGTACCCAATGGGTGCTCAGGCCTTAGGCCTTCGTGGTAGTTGAAGTATACAAAAAAACCATAACAAAATTGAAGTAGATTGATTAAGTAGTTTTTGAGAATTTCTAATTGTTTATCCCAAAACACCTGTTTTCCGGCCATCACAACTAGTTTATTGAGCAATATACAGGGTTCGTTCAAAGAGAATTCAATAGCAACCTACACGTGTTTACCTTGCCGATATGAATTGCAAACCATGTCGAAAGATACATGTTATTTTTATGCGAAAAACAAAGGTTACGTTGTTTCTTCTAAACAAATTCAAACATTTCGTATTTGTGAGTAATTCGCAACAAAAGATGATAGACATATCCGCTTTGTTTGAAAATGGGTATAGTAACATATGTTTTTCGAATATTGTAGCGCATTTGTTCAATTACTCTCAAATACGAAATGTTTGAATTTGTTTAGAAGAAAAAAAACGTATCCAATATTTAAGACCTTAAAGTGCGTAAAATACCTGGGGAGGATCAAATCACTAATAAGGCGCTGAAGTCCTTAAGTTATCTCGTGGCAATAGTCAATGCCATGCTAAGGATACAGTACTTCCTATCCGCGTGGAAGACCGCTGAAGTTCCAAAGAAGGTGGGTTCGATATTTCCCCAGGATTATCGTCCCATTAGCCTGCTGTCAGCTCCGTCTAAGCTCGCTGAAAAGGTGATTCTACGTCACCTTGAGAATTTCTCGTCAGATCACCATGTGATTCCTGACGTGCAATTCGGTTTTCGGTCTGAACATAGTACGGAGCTACAGGCGGTTAGGCTGGTGGAACGAGTACCCAGAGGATTCACCCTTAACGAAAGTACTGGCACCTTGCTTTTGGATGTCTCAAAAGCATTTGACAAGGTGTGACACGCGGGCCTCCTGTGTAAACTAATCTAAAAGGGCTTCCCCTTTTGGCTTTTAAAACTACTGAAATCCTCCCTTGAAGGTAGGAAATTTCGGATCAAAATTGACAATGTCCTGTCGACAACACGGCTGATTACAGCCGGCGTCCTCAGGGTTCGGTCCTTGGACCTATCCTTTACTCACTGTACAACCATGACGTTCCTAGTCCCAGCAACTGTGAAGTCTATCTCTATGCTGACGATACTGCACTGGTGGCTCAGTCGTGGTCTCGTCACCTAGTCCATGACAGACTGCAAAGTGCGATGGAGGAAGTATTAGATTGGGCGGATCGGTGGCTAATTAAAATTAACCATTCGAAAACGCAGGCAATCTACTGTACAAAAAGACGCCGCGGCGTTCCATCTGAAGTTTCAGTGAATGGACTTCGTATACCATGAGAATCTTCCGCTAAGTATCTCGGTGTCATTCTGGACAAAGGGATGACTTCGCGGAACCATAAAGAAGCGTTAAAAACTTAATTCCAAATTACGTTTCGTCAGCTTTATGTAAACGTTCAAAATTACGTTTGATTAACAAGATTCGACTCTATAAGGTGTTTATTGCTAAAACACACATGCGAAATCTGCAGGTTCTGCAAAGCAGAACGTTGCGCACTATTGCTGACGCCCCATGGTATGTCTCTAACGAATCTCTACATAGAGACCTCGACGTCCCTTACCTAAAGGACTACATGAAGCAACAGGCGCAGCGGCGCTATAGCCTAGCGGAATCGCTCAGCAACCCTCTGTTGCGTGAGTCAGTGGACTTCACAGTCGAGCAAGTTCGCAAGCCTATCCTAAAAGATTCTCTTCTTCCCCTTTGCTCTCGTTCTTCCTTCTCTCCTTTCCTTCCCTTTTTTCCTTAAAATTGTCTGGTTTCTGGGTTACCAGACCTGACAGACTTACAAACTGACACTGTGACTCAAGAGCTAAGGTCCCACGGACCGCTCTGACAACCAACGATGACCTGAAAAAAACGTATCCTTCGTTTTTCACATAAAAATGACATTTTCATCTTTCGGAATGGTTTGAGATTCATATCGGCAAGCTAAACACGTGTACTGTGCTATTAAAGGCTCTTTGAACGAAGCCTGTATATTGCTCAATAAACTAGTAGTGATGGCCGGAAAACACGTGTTTTGGGATAACCAATTAGTAATTCTCAAATAACTGCTTGACCAATACACACCAATTTTGTTGTTTTTATTTAGAGGTATGAATCCTTCGGATTTGAAGAATTTCAAGTAGTTGCGTGAAATTATCGTCGCATTACCAACAAGTGCCAAAACCTGCATTTTGCCTCGGTTTTCGGCTATAGCATTTTTGCTATTTGTCGGATCTTTTTACGTGTGATCTCATTTTGTAGGTCTCATAAATACCTAAAAATCATATATGAAAAGTTTTTCCGTTCCTGTCAACACTTTCGATTGAATCCCAAAAACACGTTTTCTCATTCTTTGATGTCAAATAAAAAGTTTTGCCACAAAAATTGGTGTGTCCATTTTATGCGTCCATGACAACTTGCACCAATAAAAACAGACTTGATAATTATTTCGGGGAAATTTGATAATGTGATTAGACTTAATGTGGTGGCACTCGTTTAAGTGTACGAGTACATGCACTATATTATATAATTTTGGACCTTAAAAAGCTAAGCTTATTTGCTCAACAGTTTCGGTACACATACAGTATGGTTTTGAGCTCTTGTATGGTGATTGTGTTTGACTGGCCTCAGAAGGTGTTTATTCTTCATACAGGGTTGAGTTATTTATTCTAGCAGCTTGCAGAACTCGTCAAAAGGAGTTGATTTACTAAAAATCACCTATATAAAAATGATATAAAAAAAATCATTATCAAGTTAAATGGATACCGTTTTTCCAAAAACTGCTCAAAATTGTCCCCGGTTAACGCAAAATCTTGCTTGGCGAATCCACGACTTTTTACAGGCTTCGAAAATAAAATCCTGGTGTCCACAAACTAAGTCACAAGCATTTTTAGTGCGCTGTTGAAGCTCTTCCATAGTATTTACAGCTCCATCATGATACACCAACTCTTTCAAATAGCCCCACAGAAAAATTCGCAAGGCGTTGAATCCGGGGAGCGAGCTGGCCAAGAAATGGGTGCATTGCGAACTATCCATTATTCGAAACCCATTATTTAGGAACCACATATTCTGTCTCACATTTAGAGGAACATTTTTGTTAATTGTGGCAGATTGTGTCGAAGAAAATCTAAATAAATTTCACCGGTCAGTAGCGGTGGAAAAGGAAGGGTGCAATAAGTATGCCATTTACCACGCCAACCCAATAATCAAAGTCTATGTTGAAACAGCATGCCCAAACGTGATTGTTGTGGAAATCGTGCCCTCCATTTCCTGTAAAAGTGGTCTTGTCTGTAGACAAAATTAATTTCGCAAAATCTTCACTTCTGCCGAACTGTTCTAAAAGCCACTGGCAAAATGCAACTCTTCTGTTCTGTATACTATAACCTCCGTACGGATTCCAGCTCCCATACCCGATTAAAAAAATAATTAGTTATCGATATTTATATTTTCGATTGCTGCATATTCAGTAATTAGTTTTATATGAATACAACGCAGCACGCAGCAGATAGGGGCACGGAATAGAAAATGATAAATCACAAATGGAACAATAAATTCAGTTGATAAAGTTGTTACAAATTTAAATTTTTTAATTAATATTTAACAATATTTCAATTTACATCGACAACAACAAATATATTTATGCGCGTGGCAGGGTGGATAAAAATGCGTTTCCGTTTTCCGGTGAACATCAATGTTGATGATTTATAGGGAAATATAAAAATTGCGGTATTATTTTCGATCAGGGATCGCAGCAATTTTGTACAAATGCAAATTAGGGTATTAATCTAGTGGGAAAAATTAAAACGGACAATGTGTATTAAATATTTTTGTATCTATTCATCCATATAGGTATGGTATTAATATGATACCACGTTATGTATACCAGATGTGCATTGACTACATTCAGAAAAACGTCAAACGTCACATATGTTCCCAACAGCAGGCCAAGAATCTACGAGAATCATTGTTTTTAATGTCATTTTTCTAACGTGAAGTAGTAATCAACCAAACTACACCAATACCATGTCCTCAAAATAAAATGGCGAAATGAAACAAAAGACATACCACTTTTTTGTAATGTTATTTCCCCCCTAGATCAATGTAGTGCCGCTATATCCCCTTCAGTGAAGTTATACCCTTATAAAGATTTTCTTTACTAATTGCATATACCTTTCGAAGACAACCTTCGAGAAACACGGCATGAACTCTTGGAGTCATTTCACCACTTATTGCAGTTCTGGGTCTTCCATTTTTGGGATCGTCTTCTGTGGATTTACGCCCCTATCGAAATTGTTTCCAACAACATTTTTTTTGCGATATGATGGCTCATCATCCCCATTGACAGCAACCAGTCTTTCAAAAATTGCTTTCGGCTGATAGCCCTCCTTTTCCAGAAATTGTATGACACTGAGATACTCTAATTTTGAGTTACTGATCTTTCCGCACAATTCACTTTATAAACGGGAGAGTAATTATCAAAATTAACTAAAATTTTGCAAGTAAGTTCAGAACACATGCCACATTTGACATTATTATGCTCGTGCGTTTCAATTGTTTTTTTTCATACCTATGTAGATTTATTTTCTGGTAGTACAAAAATACAATGATGTGTTAAAATGTAACAGTTAATTCCAAAAATGGTAATCAACGGAGTTCAACAACAGGTTTTTCGCCCTTATTTTTTAAAAACATATTTGATACCAAAAAACTATAGGGTATACATATGTGCAGAGAGTAATCGCATTGACTCTTTTCCGAAACGCAGTCGGTTTTCAAAACTCTATCTACAAAAAAAAAACAACAACTTCATCTATTTTGATTAAAAATAAACAGACATGCTTTTCTAGTATCTTGTATATAATGCCTCTGAGCTAATATTACTTTGTTTTTCTCTAGACAAATTACGTCATATTATACTAATACTCTGTCCACCTAGTACACCAGGAAAGTTAAACTTCTTCGCACAAGGATAGCTGTAAGTTGAATATCTCCATCCTCCATTTGCACAAAGCCCCGCACCTACTATTGTACCGTATATGAAAAGACTTACCATTAAGATGGACATTAGCAGCCAGCTGATCAACATCCATCTGGAATGCAAATAGTATTTTAGTAACATTGCAGATAGAAATTATCTGTGCAGGGTGTTCTTAAAATTGGGTCTTTTGGACGGTGTATAGAAATCAACAAATTTAAGCTAAGTAGAAGGAACAGACCTACGATTTATTTGTAATTGAAATTGGGTAGTCGATAGTCAGGTTTCAAGTAAATACTAAAGGTCGAGGTGCATGCGCGCTAACAAAACAGTCATTTTCTTGCAAGAAAAATCCAATTATCTCTGAGAGTCCCGGCAGTTACAAGAAAATTACAGAAAAAAAATGAACTCTTTTGTTAGTGCGTATGTTTTATCGATAAGTGTTTCTATATAGGGTGGCCAATATATAACTGACTCATTTAAATTGCGCACCAAAAAGTGGGTTTATGCAACCAACCAAATACTGCAGAGCAGCTGAAGAACAATATTACGGAAGCGATTGAAAATATTCCTGCCGAAACCTTCTAGAGGCGGACACTTGTCTGATATTATTTTTCATTCATAATAAAGTAAAAGATTAAGATAAAATAAATGACGTAATTTATTTCATTTCACAAATATTCAAGATACAAATCAGTCAGTTATATATCGGCCACCGTATTATAGTCATACCTAACACCAAGACTGAAAAATACAATATGTAGTAAAGTAAATTTTTTGAAGGACACTAGATAGGGCCAACCGTAACTTATCTACTTTAATTTTGAATAGAAAAGAAAATATGTTTTCTTTCGTGTTATCAATAGAAATTTTGAGTTTTCATTTTATCGCTCCGAGATTTAATTCAGGAAGCTCGGTCGTCCCAAAAAAACTAAAAACTATTTAATATATACATGTTTAATAACAATAACCGAGCGATTCAGGTCTCAGCAGTATTATATAAGAGTATTTCTGGCCTGCTGAACGTGACTACACCCAGCACGATTAGCTACCTGAATCTCCTGTCCAGAGAAAAATATACGCTGATGTATTGGTTTATCACTTTGGTAAGCAATGGTAGGAAAATTAGCCAAAAGTATGCTCCAAAACTACACAATTTTGGCCACAAATAATGTAAACTCATATTTATTTATTTAGATTTCGTATTTCCTACCGGTAAAACTCACCCAACTAACAATTATCACTCCTATTAGAGTTGCAAGAATGATTATACAGTATTCCTTAAACAGCATTGTATACTGTAAGAACATTAGCAAAACCCTCTTAGAACAGCTATACAAGCGGAATGGCACACCTAATAGGACACTTCAGTCATTTAAGAGGTTGTATAAGGGCTGTAGGTAACAGTTATAAAACAAAAGTGTAAGCCTCTTGCATTCGCTATAGGACATTTGCGTCAGTGCAAGATTCAGTTTTTGTCAACTATACAACTATTCTCTTACGTGATTCTACTTTATTGCAACCAAATTATTTCCTATGTATTGTATAGACGAAGTGAAGAATATATAACTAACACATTACAGTCATCTTGTTTACTTACATATCGGCCATTGTAAATTTCATACACAGGTATATGATAAACTTCTACACTTCGATATAGGGCTATTGAATTACTTGCGCAGCAAATTTTATTGTGATTATCTTGCAAATTAGTTAACCAATTTCTACGGGCTTCGTATTTGATTCATATTTTGACAATGATCAAAAGTATGTCTAGATTTTTAAGATGGAAAACTGAACTTATCTGCGTTAAATCTTCCACAAGTCCTATATTTAGACACAATTACATTAATTTTTATCACTTTATATCCGTAATTTCGAACTGAAACATAATTATTTAATATTAAATATTGGAATAAATGTTTGCCCAATATGGCGGGTGGTTGTGTACAATCATGGCATCGTTCATGTTGTCTTTAAGTTATTAGAATATTTTGGTGTTGCCTGCAGGTGTTATACAACAATTTGACAAATGTCTGAAATGAAATACCGACAGAGTCGAATGATTTACCCAGACTTTGTACCAGATCTATATCTTCTGTTTGAACAGTTGATAAAACCTTTTGATCCCATATGCATGCGTTGTTTGTCTTAAAACATTGGTTATGGCATTTTAACAAAAATATGACAGCAGAAAGTTAGGTTATGGTGAAGTTGTTTACCAACATATTTAGCATATGTAACAGTTGTATAAGTGCTTCCGTTGGGAGCAATTTGTTGGCTAATGTAGTAAATTGCACAGCAAAGCAACAAGGCTCGGATTTGTTTTATAAACCTTAGCATGGGTGCCACAACACAACCATTTTGACTAACTTGCAAATATGCCGTATAAAATAGTTGTATAAACGTTTATGCAACAGTTAAAAATTTGCACTATAAGGTGTTATTTAACTATGCTATAAGAATATTTTAAACACCTCATTTTAGAGCAAATATGTTGCAGAAAGCAAATTTGCATTCCACACAACATTAAGCCAGCATTTTGGTGTTCAGGCAACAATAATAGAGAGCTTTTATGGCTGAACGGTTCTTTTACCAAAAGCTTATACCACTACTTTGCTAGTTGGGCAATTATTACAGGAAAATCTCAAATACATTAACAAAAAGAAAATAAAGAGACACATTGAAAACTTATCAATTGGCCTAAGTAAGCTCAGAGAACAATTGATGACTTATAGCAATTTATGATTGATTTGCAGCTGCCATTAGAAATAACACACAGATCACCAATAGAGTTCATCAGAGACTGCACATTACATAAATTGGAGATTTCCACATTACGTTCGTCCGGCCTGCTTGACAATAAAAGACTGATTGAAGAAATATATTTTCTTAAGTAAATCCGGACAGTCAATTTGATTGTGCATGGCCATATAAAAACGATAAGGCAAAAATATTACGTCTAATTGATAGTGAATCTAAATCGAAAAAATGCAAAAGAGTATAATGACAAAAACCTCTTTCTGAATAAGAACCAGTACATTTCAGGTAAAAATACTTAATAGCCTTACGTTGAATGCCTTCAATCATTGAAACTGAATTTAGGTATATTGGAGACCAGATCAGGGTTGCATATTCCAACTTGCTTCTGACAAAAGTAACGAACAAAGTCATTAAAGTACTGACATTGTAGAACCCCTTCCAGTTTCTGATACAGAAGCCAAGTAGTCTGGTGGCAGCCGATGAGATATTAAGTATACGTAGTCATGCCATAAGTTCTGTCCCTCGTTTTCAAACAAGTGTAGACCTGTTAATACTTGTCCGATTGTTTACATTGTGGTGTCAGTTGATTAAGCGCTTTTCGGGTAATTACATATACCTCAGTTTGTATTGATCTCTCGAAGCATAACGATGGAGTGGGGCAAGGCAGAGAACCGTATTGCAGTGATAGCTTTACATAAGTGTAATCACAGTGCTATTCAGATTTTTGAACTCTTACGCGGCCTTCAAATATCGCGTAAACTTGTGTCTAGGACCATTCAGCGGTACAATGAGACGTCCTCTGTTGATGACAGGCCAAGAAGCGGAAGACCTCGTCAAGTAAGGACTCCAGCAGCCATCAAAGCCGTAAAAGCCAGGATTCAAAGGAATCCACTCCGGAAGCAGAAGATCCTATCCAGGGAAATGAAGATTCCTGTCCGGACGATGTCGCGCATCATTAAACAAGACCTAGGGCTAGGGGCTTACCGGAGACGTACGGGCCAGCGACTTACGGCCACCTTGCGACACATCAGGGCGACAAGATCCAAGAAGCTCTTGGAGAGGTACGCAGCTGGGGGATTCCGAAAGATTTTGTTCACGGATGAGAAAATCTTCACCATAGAACAAAAATTCAACCGACAAAATGACAAAGTGTATGCAAGGAGTTCACAGGAAGCTTCGGAGATCATTCCGAGAGTTGAGAGAGGCCACCACCCTGCGTCAGTCATGGTTTGGTGGGGGGTGTCCTACGAAGGGGTCACTCAGCTCCATTTCTGTAAACAGGGCGCGAAAACAAAAGCGGCAAACTATCAGAGCGACATACTGGATCCTATCGTCAAGCCTTTAAGTGGTACATTGTTTGCCAACCAACACTGGGTCTACCAGCAGGATTCCGCCCCCGCTCACAAGGCTAAGAGTACGCAGCGCTGGCTGGAAAGCAATGTGCCAGAGTTCATTGCTGCGGAAGATTGGCCCTCAGGGAGTCCGGACCTCAATCCTTTAGACTACAAGTTGTGGGACCTGCTAGAGCAGTTGGCCTGCTCCAAAGCCCACCGTAATATCGAGTCCCTGAAAGTGGATTTGATCCGATCAGCGGCAGCTATTCCTTTGGAAGCTGTGCGTGCAGTGATAGATGAGTGGCCCGCGAGATTGAAGCAGTGTGTGAAGGCCAAGGAGGGACATTTTGAATAAAACTGTTTGATTATGAATTCTAAAAATGTTGTCGAATAAATAATATCTTTCATATAAATATATCTTATCTTGTTTCATTTTTATCATGAGATTATCATGGGACAGAACTTATGGCACGACTACTATGTTCGCTAAACCTTAGCCTGCTATCAAAGGTTACTCTGTTACATCTGTCTAGAACCTGACCGTTGACGTTATAATCATCGTATATTAAATAATTAGTCTTTCTTGTATAAGACACAACTTTACATTTAGAAACATTGAAACTAAGACAGTTTCGCGAGCAAGATGAAGAAATTAAGTCTAAATGATTCTGCAGCATGAGACGATCATCAATTGACTCGACCGATGCGTAAATCTTAGCGTCGTCAGTAAAAACCAGATGCAAACACTTGAGCTCAAGACACAAATCGTTAATAAAGATCAGGAACAATAATGGGCCTGAATTCGATCCTTGAGGCACCCCAGATGCGGCCTGATAATAACTCGATCTATAACCACCATATTCAACAAACAACCTTCTGTCCATCGAGTATGAACTCAGGAGCGTTAACAGTCCCTGAGATAGACCTACGGTCCTAAGCTTATCCAGAAGTACATAATGATCAACTTGATCAAATGCCTTCTGACTATCTGCATAGATTACATCAACTTGCCCTTGAGTGTCTAATACTTGGGAAATATACTGAATAATCAGGGTCAAGTTGGTAACCGTAGATCTGCCGCTCATGAATCCATGCTGATTGACAGAGATTGCACCCTTGACCGACCAGTAAGCCGTAAAAAGAAAACTTGGAATACCATCACATCCAGATGTCATTTTGTTCTTTAATCTTTTCGAAGCCACGAAACATCATCTTCATTTATATAATTGAGAGAAATTGTACTATTGGATTTCGTTGTTGATGATAAGTACTTTTGTGGATTAGAGTGTATAAAAACTGATGAAAAAAAAACAGCAAGACTGTCTACGATATCCCGAGGAGTATCGGAGACATTGCCGTTAAGGGTTATTCCAGATGGAACTCTAGATTGCTGTTTTTTAATATGAACGAGTGACCAGACTTTAATAGGATCTGTGGCAATGGCATCCTCAACCGATTGGATATACGCAGAATATGCAGCATATATTAGGCTTTTATTGAGACTTCTAAGATTACTAAACTGAATATAAAAGAAGTTGGTGCCGTAACGTTTTCAGTTCTTCTGTGCCCTGTCTTTCTTATCAAGATTAACTATGATCTCACTTGTGAACAGTGGTAGATATAAAAGTGTTTACTTTTACATTTTGGAACATGGACCTCAAATATGTTATTAATTACAGAATATAAGGCAACACAAGCGTCGCCCACACTGTCTGCATTGATCAATTAACATCCAGGAAGGCTCTGTACATTTCAGGGTATCTAGCTTTATGAAAATTGTACCTTGTAGAATTTGCAAATGAGAATTTTCTTTGAGACCCGTATGTATTGAACTAAAAGATCAGCGCAGGATGATGGACATCCACTTTAACTAACGATGAACTATACCTGATGACTTCTATGTTAAGGTTTCCTAAAATCAGATCCAATATTCGACCGCTTACGTTCAAAATATTATTGAAGTTATTTAAGTCATTAAACGAGATGAAGCTTCTTATTAATTGTGACTTCTGATCAATGATATCACTACTGAATGACGCGACATTAAAGTCGCCAAAGATAATCACTTTACAGTAACTGAAAGCATTATTGAATACTTCAAGGGCTTCAAGGTACTGACCAAACATGTCAGAAAGAATTGAAGGAGGAGTATAAATAGAATAAATAACAAAATACTCGTGATTAATGATTAACTTGATGCAAATAGTATCAGTTAAAGGAAAATTACTCGTGTCAATTCTAACTACATTGAAGATGCGCTTAACCGCAATCAGGACGCCCCCGCCGGAGGTTAAACCAGATCGAGAGAAGTCACGGTCGCATCTAAATACACGATATTCAGATGGAAACAATTCACTATCACCGACATTTGCAGACAGCCATGTTGCACTCAAACAAACCAAGTCAAACTCAGAGTCACTGACTCCATTGTAGAATGCCACCGTCTTAGAGTTGAGACCATTCTGCCCTTTAAGTTGCGATACAACTCAATCTGTTTGGGGTCTTATCAAAAACAACTCACGTATTTTTATATATGTCATTGCTCTTCAACATATATATGCGCTTAATTCGAATTTGTTCATAAAACAAGTCTTTTCGAGATAGAGCGTTTCATAAGAAATATACCATGGGACGTTATAAATCTTCATGTGTATCCAAATTGCCACAAAAAACACCATTCCATAATCCACGACCCAAAAATAGTGTCTACATGAGCAGAGAAAAAATACGGCCGGGTATAGTCGAACTAGAAATTTAATTTTTATCATCACCTGTATTTCCAAAGCTTGTAAGACCAGTTATTTCTTCTTCTCCAGTTTTGATCCAGCTGATTGAAGCGATCGGTAGCATGGGTCATCTGGCATCGTACCAAACATATTATCGGACATTTGATGTGGAAGATCTCATGAATGTTAGGCTGGGCACAGTAGGCCTGTTTTATTAGAGAACTCACACTGGTACGCATCAAATTACGCACACCTACAGTAAAAATAAAGTGTATAATAGCAGTAAATTAGTGACAATGTCAAATGACATTGACAATGACTTTTCCTTGACGGTGTCAGTACGTCGGAAACTTGAGAAAGCAGCGCCACTGTTAGATGTATTCGAACATTTCAACTAATCAGTAGTTGCGTATTGTTATTTTAAACGGCGCAGGTATTATGTATCTTGAAAAGTGACATTATCTCGGTTTTTTCGACATTATATAGATTTTTTGACATAAGGTAGGTTTTTCTACAAAATGTTAATTTAGCACTAGCTAATGGACACTTGTGAACTCGTTTTGTGGTTGTACGTGTTGCCTAAACGTCATAATGTTTCGGTTATCAACGTTTTGCTCTGATGTGATGTAAAACCTGCTTCAGAGATGGCATTATTGGAGGTCTAAGCTGTAAAGCGAGGATTTTTGTCTCAAATACGCTTACTTGAGATTCAAAGCTAGAAATCAGCTGCGTATCCACTTTTTCTTATTTATTCCGGACATTACACAGGCAAATTTGTTGAATTTCAAAATGAGAGAGATAAGAAAAGAAAATCCCTGGTTGGTGAAGTAACAGGTGACAAAATATGCTACAGGCAGGAATATTCATAAAAGTGAAAAGGTTATCACATTATTTTTCATTTCCAGTAATTTAAATTTTATAGAAATTTATTTTGTGATGTCAATAGAAAATACAAATCAGCGCCTAGACGTGAGGCACTACGAAAGTGTTTGAAGTATGATGCGTCATTCCTAATTTTTCTGTGATGTGGCTTAATTGCTATTTTATACTCATGCAGACCAATACACATAATTATCCAGATGCGATCTTGCTACTCAACCAACTTTTAATTCTTTCACATTTCAGGGATAACACTATAGACTACTCGGCTTCACAAAACATTAATAAAATCCAAGCGAATAATCAAAATTTCTGTACTATTCGACGTTGCTTCTCAATGCGGTCCCGAGGACCTTAGCCTTTAGGTCATAGTCACTGTAATGTCAGTGTCTGTCGTCAGATTGTCAGGTCTGGTGGCCCAGAAACCAGACAAGTTGTAGGGGAAAGGGGAGAGGGAGAAAGAAAGGAAGAAAGTAGGAGCGAGAAGAGAAAGAAAAGGAATTGTCATATGTAAATATTTGAGGTGTGGTAGATCTAAGAACGGTTACATTGTACTATATACATTTTTGACTTGTTCTGAACTGAATTTTGGGTCTTTGGTTTTTAAATCTATAATTTTTAAAGGTCTAAACATGAATTTAATTTTGTTCACAGTACGAGTCGCGGCCTGGAATGTTTGCGTATCTCCTCGACTGTGTAATCCACTGCTTCACGCAACATAGGGTTGCTGTGCGATTCCGCTTACTGGTAGCGTCGTTGTGCCATACCTATGATGTAATCCCTAAGGTACGAGATGTCAAGATCTCTATGGATGGTATCGTTTGATACATACCATGGGCCATTAGTTATTGTACCAAAATTTCTGTCTTATGTACCGCGGTTATAATATGGTTCAAGATGACATACGGATTGATGACGACAGTTACTCGAATCGCTTGAACGCGTTGGTTTTAACCGCGGTTTTGTTGCATGTTATTTAATTTAGAAAAGAGCGTATATAATTTCTGATTATTTTTATTATCATTTAATAATCGGTGCTTTTTCGTCTACAACGGTGTATGGAAAGTTAAAAAAAAAACCTTTCATAATATTAATGGGAGAAATGCTTTTTTCAGAACAGATCGGTAAATACCAATCCAAAATGGTAAATTCCATTTTCATTTGGTTATACGCTTGAATTTGATTATGTACTTGCGCTTAGTTGAGTTATTCTCCATAGATGGACGCTCATAGCGATCATAGCGGCAAAAGTTAAATAGACTATTTGCGCCTTTAAAACTATCTAGTCATTTTGTTGGTTTTTCATACGTTTTATATGTTTTTTTTACATAAAAGCCGTGCGAGCCCCTTTCAACGAATCTAGGTCCAAAATTGTGTCAAAAATTATTTTTCGAAGAGGTCGGAAAATCGTCAAAAACGTCTTAATGAATTAATAGATAATCGAAATATAAGGTTTCGAAATTATCTGCTACATCAAATGTGGTGCTGGACTCTGCCTCCAGAAACTGTTTAGGTGAAAATCTATGACATGCGTAAGTCAATATCCAACAAAGACTGCACGCGTCGTGTTTACAAATCAGATTTCAAAAAGCGAAAACGGCACATTCCCATAGCAATAAGAAACTTCTGTGGAAGTAGTAGTAGTTGTGACATCGTCACATGACATTACCTTTCCTTTGCCGATGTCAGTACGTCGGAAACTTGAAAAACCCGCGCCACAGTGCTCAAACATTTCAAATACAGAAGGACTGATTCGGTATTTTCAATAATATTATTAAAAAAGGGCCCCAAAAACTTGTTAGAAAAAGTTTTCTAAGTTAATTCCAAAAATTGGTTTTATGGCTCCGGACAAAGCTTTTTCGGTTTTTTGGGTCGTGCTGAACAGAAACAGTTATGACGTAAATGGTTGGCCATCAGTTGTTTCTTTTTAAGTTGGTATTATTTTGACAGTTGGTAAAACTTCCATGCTCAACATATTGACAGATATATTGTGTCAAACTTCCCCTGTGAGCAATAGATAGTTTTAATCTTGAACGAAGGTGATATTGAAAAACTATTTCCAAAGTGAGTCTGTGTTGCAGACTTTGCGAAAATTGAGAAGACTATTTTGTCGGGATGAAGCTTCGTCCGCGACTGGTATACGCAAAATTCGTGAACAAGGTTCGTGAAGCTAGCCTGCTTGTGGATAACAGAAGGTATCAGCGTGTTCGACTCGTACGTACAGACCATTTCTGCTGTTGCCCAGAGTGTGCGTGAAAACGCAAGAATGTCAACTCGTCACAGAGCACAAGTGGGCATCAGTAGCACTTCTGTGCGGAGAATATTGCATAACGACCTGGGATTATTTCCTTACAAGGTGCAACTTGTGCAAGAGTTGAAACAAAATGACCATCCGCATCGATATCGTTTCTTTGCGATGGCTCTAAATCAATTGGAAACGGACGTCAATTTTGGTCGCCAAATCATCTTTTCAGATGAAGCCCATTTCCATCTGGGAGGCTACGCTAACAAGCAGAACTGTAGGATTTGGGGTTCTGAAAATCCACATGTCACAGAAATACCAATGCATCCAAAAAGAGTAACTGTTTGGTGTGGCTTTTGGAGTGATGGGATTATTGGTCCCTACTTTTTTCAATGTGAAGACATGTTGAAGAGCTTTTTATGGCCACTGTTACATATATGCACTTGGTCAATCTCTTATTCTAGCAGGATGGCACAACATGCCACAGCAGCCGTGAAACAATCAATCTTTTCACACTAAGTTCAGTCATTGCGTTATCAGCTGTTTTGGATACGTTCATTGGCCAGCCTGCAGCTGTGATTTGACGCCCTTGGATTACTTCCTATGGGGTACTGTTAAGAGCCGCTGTTACACTAACGATCCTCAAACAATTGTTGTTCTTAAGGAATTTATCCGTCGAGCTATTGACGAAATAGACCCACAAACCATCGAAAATGTGCCGCGGCAACCATTTAACTGAAATTGTTTTTGATAAGTAATCGGAAGGTGTATTCTTTTGAATAAAGAATCGAGTGTTACATATTACTGAAGAGTGTAGTTTTTATACCAATTTAAAAAAGAAACCAACGGATGGCCCACTCTTACTTCTCTAAAGTTCATACTTTTCGAGATATAAGCGATTTAATATCCAAAATAGTGCAAAGTGTGCCGAAATCATATTCGAGTCGAATTCTATTAAATTATAGTTTGACGGTCGGTTCAACCAATGAAATGAACTTTGATGCAATCACGTCAACGGTCAATGAATATCAATGATTTCTATTGAAATTTTGAGTAAAATAGCGAAAATGTGGTTGTATTATAAATAAAGGTACCTTCTGAATCTAACATTATTGAATCTCAGGAATAATTTCATAGGATTGGCTATTTCTTATAACTTTTACATATGACGGTGGATTCAATTTCCAGCCAATGGAGTTACAGTAAATATCGGTACCGTTTTGGGGCTATTATATTTAGTAGCACTTCTTATAACTTTTACGTTTGACGGTGGATCTAATTTCTAGCCACAGTAAATATTAGTACCGTTTTTGGGCTATTATATTTAGTAGCATGTTTTTTATTGCTCTGGACCGTCCGTCAATGTATAGCAATCTCGACTGGACTTGCATTCGTGCCAAAAATGATCATTCTTGCGGATATATTGAAAAGCCGAATACTTGCATCGACGGCATCCGCCTGCCCTCAGGCCATCTATGATTAGAGGGCGGCCCGCTTGAATACAGCGCCGGACCCAGCCCGATCGGTAATTATGTCCATCGGATGCTTCTTCGCGTGACCCCGGGCGTATCACCTGGAAGCAGTTCTTGAGGTAGCCGTCTGATGTCTGAAGGTGCCGCTTGGTGTATGGTAATTAGTCACCTTATAAATTTTGCGGGCACTCTATGGATTTCGGAAAAGGGGGTATCAGATCGAGGTAGTGATTTTGGTAGTTTATTGCATGGAGGAACTCGATAGACAAAAATACCATCATGTGGGTTGATTCTACACTTTCCACGTAACGCCGTCATCAGTTTATAAATGTGTTCAGAAGAGAAGACTCTCAGCGCCATAGATATGATATCCTAGATAGAGAACAGTTGCTATGCTTTCATTGGTTGTTCCAGAGACCAAGCCTAGCCAAGCTGTCTGTGTTAGTTAGACCCTCAAAAAAAAATTTAGTTATAAACTTGTGTACCAGATAAAAGGTCCGTGCAATTAGTCCATAACATCGTTCTCCGGCCCTACCCGTAGACCGTCCATTTGGAAACGTCGCGTCGCCTCTTCAAAATATCTGAAAGGATGATGCGTCGCATGTGCACCAGTCATGCAGGACACATAGGAACACCGGCACACCGGCCACGGCTGTGGAAGTCAGCGGTCGCAGGGATGCTTGTCGAAAACATTTTCCTATCGTTTCTTCTAAGGG